ATATATATATATCAACTTTTATTTTTGAATAAAGAATGTTTTAGATTGCTTGTACAGAAAATAATTAAGAGATAATTATTATATATAATATTTTATAAATTTTATAAGTTATTTAATAATTAATTTTTTTATTTTATTAAAATTTATAATAATATATATTTATTTAATGATATATAAAAATTATAAATAAAAATTGAGTTTATTATTTTACTATTCGAATTAAATCAAATTATAAAATTAGAAACCTTAGATTGAGGGAGAAAGACTCCATATATCTTCTCAATCTAAAGGTCATTATTTTATCACTCAATATAATTAAATATAAAATAATTTTTGAAAAAAATTATACAAATAAATTACTCACGTATCATTACTTTTATTTGTACCTAAATGATAACAGAGGACTTAAAATTGCATTATCAACTATGAATCTTGGCATCCATTATTACCACTTAATTCAACTACATTCTATAATATTATAAAATATGTTTTTACTATGAGATAAGATATGTTTAATATTGCGTTTAGTTTGAGGAAATAGAATGATGGCAGGGGAGGGATGAATTTTGTTAACTAATTAGATTATGATATTTAAAATTAATATAATTTGATTGGTTAAAAAACAATTTTCTTTTGAAATTAAATATGCAATAAATATGAAAATATTAAATATTGAATCAGATGTACAAGATGTCACTCAACTAGGGTTGTATGGGTGGATTAGTTGAAAAAATAGAAACAATAGTAAAATATTACTCCTTCAGTTCAACTTGAATAGATTTAATTTTTTATTTAGATGTTAAAATTTAATTTTTTTAGAATATCATTTAATGTATTTATATTTATTTTACTTTTATTTTAAAAAATAATTATAATAAATATTAAATAAAAGGTCTTGTTGAAGTGATACTTTATTAGAAATTGAATGTAAAATTTTATCAATAAATTATTACATCTCGATTTTATTAGACAAAAATACTAAATTTATTAAAAAGGAACTAAGACAATAATATTTTTTTTATCTTAATGATCTGATGGTTTTTCAAAAAAAAGTATTCTTTTTATTTTGATTGTACAATGAAAGGCAATTATCTTTCATTTTTTATCTCACCTTAACCGCATACCATGCGACTCGAATTCAGAATGTTTTTCCTTTTTTTTTTTCTTTTTTTTTTTGAAACGTGTTTAGAACGTTTTTTCTAAATATGAAAGGAAATAACTTTGGGACTAATGCCAGTCCTTGCATTATCGATTTTTGTTTGTTACTGTTCCTATAATACGAAAATGTTTATAATTAGTCTTACAATGAGGGTTCCATCATATATAAAAACTTTAAAAAGAATAATACAATAATTTTTATAT